ATGCTCTGTCTCTCTCTGTCTCTCAAAAATAAATAAATGTTTTTTAAAAAGGCAGGTTCAGGGCCATGTGCCCAGAGATGGATGGGGTCTATAGATTCAGGGCCCACCTGCTCAGCTACACATCTAGAAAGTATTTGGGGTCATCCTAAGCTTCTCTCCTGCCATCACCCCCACCTGCAAGGCATCTGCAAACTTCTCAGCTCCACTCGCAATGTTTTCCAAATTCAGCCACTTCCCACCCCTCTACCTGAAGTCTTACAATAGCCACCTATCTGGAAGCTTTCCACTCTCCTCTGCTTAGTCTAATCTCTGCACTGCAGCCAGATCCATTTATTTTAAACCCTCCAATGGCTTCTCATCACACTTAGATAAAATCTCTGCATGGTCTGGCCTCTGGCCCCTGGCTAGCTCCCCAAATGCATTTCCTAACACTTCTGCTCTCAGCCACTCAGCTGCTGCCATGTTGGCCTTCTTGCTGCCAGTCACGGGCTCACCAAACAAACTCACAGCTTTTGCATTTACAGCCTAGACTGTTCTTCCTCCAGAAATCTCCTTGACCTCCCGGAGGCACCATCACTCACCTGGCAAAACACCGCTCCTGGAGAAATCCTATTAGGGACTGGGTTTTTGTGGCCCCCCCCCACCCCCAAATTCATACGTTGAGATCTACTGCTCAACGTGATAGTGTTAGGAGGTGGGACCCGGGAGGTGTCTCGATCATATGGTGGAGCTCACGAATGGGGTTAGTGCCTGAGAAGAATAGGCCAGAGAGCTAGCTGGCTCCTTCTGCCATGTGAGGATGCCAGGAGTCGGCAGTCTGTAACCTGGAAGAGAGCTCTCACCAAAACCCAACGTTGCCAGCACCCCAATCTCAGAGTTCCCAGTCTTCAGGGCTGTGAGAAATACGTTTCTGTTGTTGATAAGCCTCCTAGTTTACGGTATTTTGTTATAGCAATCTGAGCTAAGACACCCACTATCAGCTTTTTCCTCTCCATTGCCACCCCCAGAGTGCTAAGCACTGCTGATGAGCATCCTGCATGAGGGCAGCTGGGCACCCCGTAGATTCTCAACACCACCCAGTCCTTCAACCCTGCACAGGAACCTTAATATATGCTCCCCATCAACTCACTCTGCCTTCCTTCACAACGGACACTCCAGACCCTCTGTTTCATAGTCCCGTGGCTTTCCCATGGCTCCAACACCTTGCCTGTCATTATCAGAAGCCATTGAAGAGAAATCTCTGACAACGTCCCACCCTACGCCAAACCACAGACCTTCCTGCATATAAACCGCCCTCTCCTCCTGACCTCCTGTTTCAACTGAGTACTTTCCTCCTATTTAAGACCAATCCCCCCATCTCAGGGGTCCCCTCTGACCTTCTCAGGCCACCTTCTTGATGCATGTGCTTTCTTATCCCCAACTTTTCCTGGTCAACCAGTTTGCTCAGATCTAGTTGACCTATAGCATATTGGGACTGGTAACCGGGTCTCCTAATGCCTGCCCAGTGCGATTTTCCTCTAGACCACACCACCTCTCAGATGGTAGAGGATACACTTTTATGAAAAGTTGTTTGTATGCTCAGTAATTATTTTAGAACAGTGAATGTTTTCATCTGAGTCACTACCATATCTTTACGAGCTGGCAGTTATTGAGTGATACAAAACGACTGAAATGTGCAAATAACAAACAAAGACAGGAACAGGAAAGGTTGGGCATCAGAAAGGTTCCCTCTGCTCAGTTCTTCCCATTTTAAAATACCACCAGCCAAGCAATGAAGAGCCTCCCCACCCCTCCTCATTCAGCTGCATCAGTCTCCCATTCCCTTCAGGGTCACACTCCATCAATGGTCTCCATTTCCTCGCCCCCAACTCTC